GAAAGAGTTATCTCTAGGCACTTACTTGAAGCTAATTTAGGATACAGATTTCAAACCTTCTTCCACTCCACCTCTTGCAAAATCAAGAATGCATTTAGTTATGGGAGCAAATGGAGCTAAAAGCAAAGGAAAACATAGCAGCTTGCCCATTACTAATTTTGTCTGGGCTCACTGAATGCTGATTTCCACCTTGCCCAATTTCAATATCTGTTTTTTAAATATCTTAATTATAGAAATTTTCTTCAACATATATAATATCCCAAGAAATTAATACATTACAAACTGAAAGGGAAAATTTAATTTGGTTTTATTAGTCATTTTGAATAAGTACTCAGGCAATTATGAAAAAAATTTTTTTTCAAAGCTCCAATAAAAGTTATTCATATACTTAAGTTGAAAGAATACACTTTTTATTATTTTAAATCTTAATTTTAGACTTTATGATTTTATGATGATCCAGAATCATCTCTGGCCAATTTAAGAGCAGGTAGAAAGCAAGCACATACTTAGGCCTCCTTTTACTATGTAACTGTGTTGCTGTTTTCTTTTCCTCTGGACTCTTTGAGAGATCATCTCCTCCTGGTAGCTCAGGGGGCAGTGGTAAATCAGCAAGTAAACATCGTAGTTTCTTTTCTACTTCTTTTTTAACTGCTTTTACTGAAATATTTCCTCGTAAGCTAAAAAGAAAGGAGTCAGACAAATAAAACACAAAAATTTATTTCATTGAGAAATAAAAATGCATTTATATAGCACACAATGGCAAAAGACTAAACTGAGTTTCTTTACTTTCCAGCTAAAATAATATACTATATTCAACTGCAAAAATATAAAATTTGGGGGCAAAAATGATACAGAATTAGATAAAAACTAAGGAAATCTGAACAAAGTATGGACTTCAGTTACTAATAATGTATCAATACTGGTTCACTAATTTTAACAAATGTACCATACTAATAATGCTAGATGTTAATAATGAAGAAACTGAGTGGAGGGTATATGGGAACCCTCTGTAATACCATTATAACTTTTTTGTAAATCTAAAACTGTTCTAAAAAATAGTCTATTTTTTAAAAAGATATAGAATTACTATAAAACTGTAAATTAAAACTGAAAGTCAACTAGTCATGCTTTATGGGAAAATTCATTAGTTTTATAATAGCATTTGGTTTGATTCTGGTAGACAGACAAAAAGCTATTTTGTTTTAAGAAATAAATAAACCACATGCTATTATTTACCTGGCCCATTTAAATAACTACAAAGAACAAATTTAGCTTCATCCCTTTTCAGAATTAATTTTTCCTGAATTGGACAATGATTCTTTAAAAAAATTTTTAAGGCTCTAGCTTATCAGAATTACAGGTGAAAATTAAGCTCAGTTAGTTTTATACTTTTTTGAAGCTCTGATTTTTTAAACTATACCTTAACCTGGTAATTGATTATTTTAAACCTCCCAGACACTACAAAATCTGTTTAACAATATAACATGTTGAAAGAGAATATTACAATGATAATAAAATTTGGACTTCACATACTTTCATAGCAGTTATGAGTCCCAGAATTAAAAACTTTAGTGAAACTACACTGCTGTGGTCAGAAACTACTAATGATGTTAACAATATAAATCATTTCATTTTAATTATAACTTCTCCTACTCATGTTGGACTTTAATATTATTGTACAATATACGGTCTTTTAATACCATCTGATAAAAACTATTTATCAATAAAATTGTGACTTTCCTTCACAACCCCATGTTACTAGAAAGTAATCTTTAATAGGGAAAACAAGCTCAAAAGGAAATTGGATTGCAGTTGTATTTTTATAGTAATGGTGTCATATAGCCCACTTTTCAATTTTCATGTCCCTCCATTCAACAAATATTCATTATACACATCTATGTGCTAGGTATTACATAGGCACTATAGTTTAACAACAAAACAATTCACAAATACATTAAGATACATACAGTTCCTCTCAGAAAGGAGGTTACAGTCTTTTGGAGGACATCAGAAAGCAGCAGGATAAAGTACTGTACAGACTAATTTCCAGAGTAATATGGTACTAAAGGGTAGCTAACTCAGGACTGAAAGACAGTAAAAGCTTCTTTCTAGAAAAGGTACCACTTGAACTCTGTCTGAAAATAATTCTATTTAAAATAATTTATTTAGAGAGCTGTAGTCTCTAACTTGTAATTAGACCTCAGTCCAAAATTTGCATTTGTCCAAAAATTCAGATCAATGGGGGGGAGGGGAGACTAGAAGTCTTAATTTTACTTATAATTTAACATTTAAAAGACTGCTTATATTCAAATATATCATTATATGAACTACCAAATTCAGCAAGGCTCCCAGACTTAAGAGAAATGAAATATTAGTTTCCAAAAATAACACCATATAATTAAAAACATTATATTTTCACTGAATACCTGCAATAACCAAATAGGGTTATGTGATGAGTTTTTAAAAGTCTCCAGATACTACAGAAACAACAAACAACAAAATGCCTTAACCAGAAATGTATAAGACCAAGAGAGGAAAATTAAAACATATGGCTGATGAACATAAAACTAGACCAGAATGAATGAAAAGAAATGATGTTTTCATATGGGAAACTGTAATCCTGTATATCTGTTAGTGTCCAAATTAATCATTGCATTTAACCAAGTCCCAAACAAAAATCAAGCAAGACAAGCCAAATGATCATAAAATCTAAGAATAAAGGCAAAAAATGCCAACACTGGGCCCAACTTCATTTATAGCAGTGTTGAAGTTGAGGCTGAATGGCCGCGTTATTCACTAACCAGTAATTTACTCCATCCCTTTACTTTTACATTACCTGCCTACTTCTATAATAGAAATCTGACTTTGAGAGCCAACATACTATGCACCTAAGAAGTTAAAACAAAAAAGTATTGGCAAAGAAATAATAAAATATGTTAATAGAAAATAGAGTCCAGAAACACACAGTTATCTATAAGAATTTTTATATATGGCACCACAAATCAGTGAGATAGATTATTCAGTAAATGACATTAGCAACAACTGATCTTATTAGTCCAGGGGTGATGCGAAAGAGCACACAATCAGACCATGTCTTTCTTGTACATATAATAACCAAAAACAAATTTCTGTGAGATGTGAGTTAACCTTTAAATATGTTTTAAACCTGTAAGTTTTAAAGGAAAAATTATAGATCCAACTACTTTCAAAATGGAAAACACCCATGTAGCCAAAAACAAAAATAAGTCTCAAAGACAAGCAACAGACTGTGAGAGGCACAGGTCAAGATCCCTAACATAAGCAGTACCTATAAATCAATTAGAAAAAAGATAATAATCTTAAGGAAAAATCAGTATAAAACATGAACAAGCAATTCACTGAAAAATAAAGCCAACAAGTGTTTAGAAAGATGCTATATCTCAATAACCAGAAAAATGCAAAATTAATCACATATTTTAAAGGTTTCCAACATTTCAAAATTGGCAATATTTAGTGTTAGTTGAAGCAATTTCATACACTTGGGTGCATAAATTGGTACACAATCTTACTAAGATACAATTTGGCAGTTTCCATCAAATTTTTAAATGTGGATACTTTGACCTCACAACTATCCTATAAAAATTGCTCACATGTACATAAAATATTAATGTATAAGGAGAATTTAATAGCAAACAATTATAAATCTAAGTATCCATTAATCAACAGAATAGTTAATAAGAGAGTGATGCATCCACTTCCATGTATAGGAATATTGAACCTATCTCTACCAACCTGGAAAGATCTCCAACACATTAAATTTAAAAAAAAAAGAAGTGAAGGAATATTGTGCATGGTATGATCCTAATTTTTTAAAAAATGATTTATTACATGTAAACATATAGTTAACAGTCTATCTTATGATTTTCGGAGAGTAATGGATTCCAGGGCTGGGAGAGAAGCAAAGTTCAAAGTGAGCCTAAAAGATATTGTTTGGCTAGGAAGCAAGGAAGCACTCAAAAATAAAATTAGTCATATCAAAAGGACAAAGGAGTTAGCATAAAGGAGTTCCCACTGGCCAAATTTCAGACAATCAAATTTGGAGCATCAAAAAGAAGAGTGTCTCAACGTTCATTGCAGCTTTATTTACAAGAGAGGACATGGAAGCAAAGTAAGTGTCCACTGACAGAGGAATGGATAAAGAAGATGTGGCACATATATACAATGGAATATTACTCAGCCATAAAAAGAAATGAAATTGAGTTATTTGTAGCGAGGTGGATGGACCGAGAGTCTGTCATACAGAGTGAAGTAAGTCAGAAAGAGAAAAGCAAATATCGTATGCCAACACATATATATGGAATCTAAAAAAGAAAAAAAAAATGCTTCTGATGAACCTAAGGGTAGGACAGGAATAGAGATGCAGACGTAGAGAATGGACTTGAGGACACGGGGAGGGGGAAGGGTAAGCTGGGACAAAGTGAGAGAGTGGCATGGACATATATACACTAACAAATGTAAAATAGATGGCTAGTGGGAAGCAGCCACATAGCACAGGGAGATCAGCTCGGTGGTTTGTGACCACCTAGAGGGGTGGGATAGGGAGGGAGGGAGGAAGACGCAAGAGGGAGGAGATATGGGGATATATGTATATGTATAGCTGATTCACTTTGTTATAAAGCAGAAACTGACACATCATTGTAAAGCAATTATACTCCAATAAAGATGTTAAAAATATATACATATAATAAAATTTAAAAAAAAAAGAAGAGTGGCTATAAGTGATGTTGAATCAATCTTTGGCCGCACATGTCAGTAGTAGTACTCAGGAGTCTTAAAAAACTTCAGTATGCTTGAAACATACAAACACTTTCAAAGCAAAAAGAGCAAAGACACAATAAAAGAGAAAAGACAGAAAAGAAGGTGGGTCAAAAAAATTTTGTTAATGGCCAAGTATGAAATGTGCCACCATCTTGTTAAAAACAAATGCACAAAGAATATCCTCCTTAATAAGCAGTCACCTGGGCACATCCCGAATTCTTAAAAACATCACCACTAAAAATTTACCCCTGAAGCACATATGAAAAATAAAATAGAGAACAACCAGTCTCACTGGTCCAGAATCACTAGATTCTCAGCAACTGGCTTATTCTCACCAATGAAGTGACTCAATTCTGCACTCATGCCTCTCTGTCCTGGACAGCCCATTCCAGGACTCATCAAAATTACAAATCACTACTCTTATGACCCTTTGGTGTTCCTAGAGAACAGTCAAACCTGCAAATACCACAATTAGAATAGTATAACTGGATAACACCTGATCAAATTGGATGGGGTCCCTCAGCAACATTTTTGATTGTAGAAAAGAGATGCCTCAGAGGGCATGAAACACAGAAATTATATTCAATACTTTATTTTCTGTTTGTTCGAAATTATAAAATTGTCATAATGCTAGCCAAAGTGAGCACTTGAAAGACCTGCCCACATGGAATTTCTATCCACTTGTTTTCAAATTCTCAGATGTCAGCTAGGAAAACTGACCATATAGTTGCTTTTTAACAAAAAGGGGAAGGGGAGGGGAACAGCTATAATTTCTTCATAAAAGAATGAAAAAGGTTAAGTCAACTGGCAAATATCACACAACAGCATAAAGCTTCTATCCTAGCATACATTTGAGAAACATTCTTAGAACTGCATTTATATTTACCCTTACCTTCATCCTCTTTTTCAAAATAAAGTACAAGCCACACCCCCAACATTCACAGCAGAAATGTGTAAACAATTTAAAGGAAAGCATAAAAGCATAAACACATTTCTGTAATATGTAATTAATCTCTAATTGCAAAAAATTAAGTCAATAAAACACTAAAAAGTGATGTATTCGTAAAGCCACCTAAAGTAATAAATTTATAAGGCCACTGAAAACACTTAGAATAACCAAGATACACGCTATTATCAACCAGGACAGACTCTCTCATAAAATGTCCTGTCTCCGGTAGTATCACCAAGGAATACTCAACCAAAGAAAATACCAACATTTCTAATTCTCAAGCTCAAGCTGAAACATACATTGTATCCCATGACAATGGCAATTTTTACCTGGAATTCTTAGCATAAGCTATAATTTTGTCATCCTACAAGCCATGTGCTTCATTTTAAGTTGTACACAATAAAGAAAATTAATTCACTTACTAACAGTCATTTATAAAATTTTTTTGGTGGGGGTCAAATAATTTCTCATTTCAAACTTAAATTTTTCTTTAAACAGTCACTGACAAAATTTTTTGCACTTACCTATCAGCATCTTTATCTTCAGGCAGCATGGGAGGCAAAGGTAAGGGTGGTAAGGTAGAGGTCACTAAAGCCACATGTTGCTCCTTCTCCTTGGCTCCTATGCTTGGTGTAAGTGGTTTGGTTTTCTCTTTAAGAGATACTGGCTCCTCCTTTGTAACAGCAGATTTACCCTCCTTTCCAACTACAACTGCTTTCTTGGTGGCTTTATCTACAATCAAATTATTATCCACCTTTGTTACCTGAAGAGGTGGCTTTGTTTTTGCCTTGTCATTTTTTAAAGTTCCACTGCTTGAGGGAGAAGGTGCATGCTCAATTTTAAGTTTCTTCACATCCTTCACGTGGTTGGTTTGTGATGCACTGGCACCAGTTTCTGTGTTCCCCTTGGTAGGTGTAGAAGTGTTTGAAGCTTTGGCAGCTTTGGCAGCGGCCTCAGCAGCCTTAGCTGCTTCTGCAGCTTTCGCTGCCTCTGCAGCTCGTGCTGCCTCTGCAGCGCGTGCTTTTTTATTCTTGTTCAATTCAGCTGCCAGGCTACTCTTCAGAGTTAGTGTGCTAGGAGAAATGCTAGAATGACGACTTCTGGATCTAGACAATCTGTGCCTGCTACGAGATCTTGAATGCCTAGATGAATATGGGCTTCTGCTTCGGGATTTGGCAGACCGTCTGGTGGAAAATAATTAAGATTTAGTCAGTAACTCAGAAAAGTTCAGTTTGAAGTGTACAAAAACTCCTAACTTGAGGCTGTGAAATGAAATAGAAATTACTTAATTTCAAAATCATAATATAGTTTTTGTGAGAGAATTTTTAAAAAGCAGAAAGTGCTTTTAAGTAGAATATTATCTGCTGGCTATACTTTTCCTGAAAATAGACTCAATGCTTGATCTCAGTCTGGCCTACAAATGCCCAAAGATGAGGCTGGATGAAAGTAGATCTCTATGAAAAGAAATACTGTAAGAATTAGGAGGAAAAGCTATGACAAGGCATTACTGCTGTCTCAAGAAAACAGAAGCAGTCAACAAGGACAACACCGATGGTAGAAGTAGCAGGGTGAAGTCTGACCAAACTTTTACCAGGGAGACAATTTCTACAACTCAAAAGCCCCCCATGCATAAGTTCAGGAGTAAGTAGTGCTCTGTCTACACCAAGAGTGAAAAAAACAAAACCTGTCATTAGGCAGTAAGAAAAAGTCTAAATCTTGGGAACTATCTAACAATGACTGTTCATGTCACTTCTCAAAAATCACTGGAAAACACAAAAATTAACGTATATTCAAAAGTATGGTGGCAACGAAAGTTTCTATGAACAAATGCAGCACAGCACCAACAGAAATGAAGCTGAGCTTTTCAAATCCACACCTTATCAAAACTTTAAAAAAATATAAGACCAAGGCACTATTAAAGTACTCTGACATATTTGATATGGCTCACTTAATGCTCACATCAACCCCAGTAAAGTATCTGCAGTTTGTAGATAAAACTTGAATATAAAATATTACCTGAAGTCAAATCCCCATCTCATTAGTAGTTGTACTGGTTATTATCTTACCCCATCCCTCCAATACTCTTCTGCCCTACCCTGTGCCCAAAGGAGGCTGACCTCAACAGATGCATCTTCGGGGTTCCAGTGCTATCCATCACTGGCAGATCAGAAGGCAGCGAAAAGCTGGATTATTTCTTTCCAGCTCCCTCCTTCCTATTGGTCACATTTTGTGGCAGAAGCTCTGTCCCTCTACCACCATGGCTCCTGTCAGGCACTGCCTTCTCCACAGCTCTCACCAGGCTCTAATAACACTATATTTTCCTTGCCCCTTCGAGCTTCCCTCTGTAACTAACGAAAACATCCCTTGTCAGTTTTCTCAATCCACCCCTATCTCTGTAGTCCTCCATTAAAGTTTCTTAAACCATCTGAGCTGGATTCTGTTACCTTCTAGAACCTAACTGTATGCCAGGTCTTAAACCCAGATCTTTTGATTCTAAAGTAGGCAGAGTCACATTCAACACATTAACACACTACCATGGAGATAGTTCTTATTGAAATTTTGTATAGGGATTTGGTAAATGAAGCAAAGAAATTCCTAAGAACCCATAATTAAAGTGGGAAGAGAAAAGGAAGAACTAGAAATTTTTGTTTATATTTGGCATTAATATATTATGTAACATATACATATACATTATCCAATACATTTTACAATTCTAGTATGAAGACAAATGATGGTTAGATTTAGGATAAAATCAAATACAAATTCAACTTCTCCCTTATTCTTTCAGAAACATTTCAAAATGTACGTAGGGCCAATCAGTGTTCAGCACTGAGCTAGTGTTTCAAACCCCATACTTTACATAAAGTATTTATGTAACATTATTTTAGGTTAACAGGAACACTGGTTTAGTAAACATTTTAATCTAATACTTGCTTAACAAATATTCATATACACCAATCATTAAAATCATCAATGAGCTTACAACTATTCATGGAAATGAGAGGAAATGTTTAGCTAAATATAAAGTAATAAGTTGGTTATAAAATATCTTGGATAACTTTAATATAGGAACAAAAAGTGTCATAATATGAAACACTTGGCCACACTTTTAATTTCCTTTGCCTTCAGAATCTTGGACCTCAAAATAAGACTGCTATGTCAAGTTTCTATCCCCTGATCACAGCAGGAGAAAGCAAAGAGACTCGTCTCATCAGAGATAACAGCACAGAACTTTTCTTAAATTAACTTTCCCACACTAGCAAGATTCTGGTCATCAGCTTCATACAGACACAGAAATTATATTTAACTAAGAAACTTATAATCAGTAAACTTTACTTAAGAAAACAGATAAAAAGATAAAATCCCAACACAAGTAACCCCTCTGGCCTATTAAATTCTTATTCTCTTCTGCACAGAATCTAGATAAGAAAGTTATCAGTAAAGACAAAAATTTTGACCTATAAAATACATATTTCAGAAATGACATTTTTATGGTATTTGATCCCTAAACCAACTGAAATTCTTCTAGACACACACTCCATTCTTCTCCAATTTTTCTATCCCTCTTCAAAAGTTCCTTAACTTTTCAAATTTCCTGCCCTAGTAAACTTGTATTCTCTCAGGTATTGCATATTTGCTAATCAATTTCAATTACATATTTACTATTTATAACAAACATATTTTGGGAATCTAAAATTAAATAAAAACACAAAACTCAAGTTTAGGTTATTTTTTTTTTTTTTTTTTTTCAGTACGCGGGCCTCTCACTGTTGTGGCCTCTCCCGTTGCGGAGCACAAGCTCCAGACGCGCAGGCTCAGCGGCCATGGCTCACGGGCCCAGCCGCTCCGCGGTATGTGGGATCTTCCCGGACCGGGGCACGAACCCGTGTCCCCTGCATCGGCAGGCGGACTCTCAACCACTGCGCCACCAAGGAAGCCCAAGTTTAGGTTATTTTTACTAATGATCTAACACTTCAGCCATACAAAGTTATGAGAGTAAGAGAGAAGTGGATCTCTAAGACTACATAATGAATTACGTCATGTCTTATAAAAAGAACTTAAATGGATAGTAGATAGCACATCCTTGTTTTATAGGTAAGATTTTTCTTCTTTTTACAAATGTTTTTTCTAATATTTCTGTGCTGTAAAATTTACAGTGACCATATATTAGCTGTTTCTTGTTCGTTTTTAATGTTTTTAAGATGTTACAGAATCACGGGGCTTCCCTGGTGGTGCAGTGGTTAAGAATCTGCCTGCCAATGCAGGGCACACAGGTTCAAGCCCTGGCCCAGGAAGATCCCACATGCTGCGGAGCAACTAAGCCCATGCGCCACAACTACTGAGCCTGCACTCTAGAGCCCGCGAGCCACAACTACTGCAGCTGCATGCCACAACTACTGAAGCCCGCACGCCTAGAGCCCGTGTTCCGCAACAAGAGAAGCCACCACAATGAGAAGCCCACACACCGCAATGAAGAGTAGCTCCCACTCGCCACAACTAGAGAAAGCCCGTGCACAGCAACAAAGATCCAACACGGCCATAAATAAATAAATAAAATTTTTAATTAAAAAAAAAAAAAGAAATTACAGAATCTTTTTAGAAGCTTTCGCAAATTCATACAACTCAAAGCAGAACCAGGAGGCTTCCCTGGTGGCACAGTGGTTAAGAATCCACCTGCCAATGCAGGGGACACGGATTCGAGCCGTGGTCCCGGAAGATCCCACATGCCACAGAGCAACTAAGCCTGTGTGCCACAACTACCGAGCCCATGTGCCACAACTACCGAGCCCGCGTGCCACAACTACTGAAGCCGGCACATCTACAGCCCATGCTCCGCAACAAGAGAAGCCACCACAATGACAAGCCTGCGCAGCACAACGAAGAGTACCCACCACTCGCCGCAACTAGAGAAAGCCTGCGCACAGCAATGAAAACCCAATGCAGCCAAATATAAATAATAAAATAAAATAGATAAATTTATTTTAAAAAAAAAAAAAGCAGAACCAGGATAAAAAATCCAGTATCTAAAACCCAAGTGGTTAGTGCTCACTGTTAATTCGGTTAGTGTTCCTTAGAGAGAGAGCATGGTGTACTGTTCACTCGACTATATCACACAATTTCTCCAAGAGTCCAGGTCTTCTGCAATTGTGCCTAATTAGCAAACACTGATTCTTAAAATTTTTACTATAATAATAGTCAACCCCTCATTATATAAAATAATATGTAACAGCAGTATCCAATAGAACTTTCTGGGATGGTGGAAACGTTCAATGCACGTGATGTCTCCTATGGTAGTCACTATTCACAATATTTTTTAGCCTAATTTTTCTACCCTGCTTATTTCACATGTTAATAGTAGCTATGTCCATTCAAAAACTTGTTGTTAAGCCCCCATAAAGGTATGAAAGTGATTCCCATGCAAGGATGGTTCAACATACGCAAATCAATAAATGTGATATACCACATTAATAAAATGAAGGATAAAAATCATATGAGTATCTCAACAGATGCAGAAAAAGCGTTTGATAAAATTCAACATCCTTTCACTATAAAAACGAAACATATGGTTACTAGAGGAGAAAGGGGGGAAGGGATAAATTGGGAGATTGGGACTGACATATACACACTAATATATATAAAACAGGTAACTAATAAGGACCTCCTGTATAGCACAGGGAACTCTATTCAATACTCTGTAATGACCTATATGGGAAAAGAATCTAAAAAACAGTAGATATATGTGTATGTATAACTGATTCATTTTTCTGTACAGTAGAAACTAACACAACATTGTAAATCAACTATACTCCAATAAAAAAAATTTTAATAAAATAACTAAAAATAAAAACTAAACAGATTGGGCACAGAAGGAACACACCTCAACACAATAAACCCTATATATGACAAGCCCACAGCTAATATTATACTCAACAGTGAAAAACTGAAAACTTTTCTTTAAGATCAGGAATAAGATAATGATGCCCACTCTTACCACTTTTATCTAACACAGTATTGGAAGTCCTAGACAGAGCAATTAGGCAAGAAAAAAAAATAAAAGGCATCAAAATCAAAAAGTGAAAAGGAAAATGTTCTTTGTTTGCAGACGACATGAACTTACAGACAGAAAACCCTTTAAAGACTCCACCAAACACCTGTTAGAATAAACAATTTCAGTAAAGTTACA